GAACCCAAAGTCTGCTGTATAATAAGTAAGGATTTTCTAGCTCTACTGCTGTAATACATTTTGTTTCAGTAAATCTATTTGTCGTTATCCTTTGCAATTTCATCATTCACATGATAATCTAGATAAGAATTAGAACCTTTGTTTATATATACGCAGATAGATCTTAATATATTTTCTCTTCTTTTCCAAAGAAAAACAGCCAACAACTACGGATAAACCAGAAACTACTGTAACAGGCCCGCAAACGACACCGCCTGGAGAACAAACAACACCGCCTGGAGAACAAACAACACCGCCTGGAGAACAAACAACACCGCCTGGACAACAAACAACACCGCCTGGACAACAAACAACACCGCCTGGACAACAAACAACACAGAACAACAACAAACAAACAGCCTGGACTGGAGCCTGGAAACAAACAACACAACAACAAACAACACCGCCTGGACAACAACAACACACAACAAACAACACCGCTGGAGAACAACAAACCTGGACAACAAACAACCCACCTGGACAACAAACAACACTGGACAACAAACAACTCCACCTGGACAACAAACAACTCCACCTGGACAACAAACAACGCCACCTGGAGAACAAACAACACCCCCTGGACAACAAACAACACCACCTGGACAACAAACAACTCCACCTGGACAACAAACACCGCCTGAGAACAAACAACACGCCTGGACAAACAACACCCCTGGACAACAAACAACACCACCTGGACAACAAACAACACCACCTGGACAACAACAACACACCTTTGGACAACAAACAACACCACCAACAAACATCTGCCAAACCTATTATTTCAACCCCTCTAGCTCCCACCACCACTCCATCCCCAACTACTACTGCAGCTCCAACCACAACTACTCCAGCTCCTACCACAACTCCAGCTCCAACAACAACATCCTCAACTACTACAGTAGTTCCAACCACTACTACCCCAGCTCCTACCACAACTGCCTCCACTACTATAGCGATTCCCACCACTACTACTCCAGCTCCTACAACGACTACTCCTGCCCCCACTACTACAGCAGCTCCAACCACAACTACTCCAGCTCCTACCACAACTCCAGCCCCCACTACTACAGCAGCTCCTACCACCACTCCAGCCCCCACTACTACAGCAGCTCCAACCACAACTACTCCAGCTCCCACTACAACTACTCCAGCTCCCACTACAACTCCAGCCCCCACTACTACAGCAGCTCCAACCACAACTACTCCAGCTGCCACTACAACTCCAGCCCCCACTACTACAGTAGCTCCTACCACCACTCCAGCCCCAACTACAACAGCAGCTCCAACCACAACTACAGCATCTCCTACTACAACTCCAGCTCCCACTACTACAGCAGCTCCTACCACCACACCAGCCCCAACTACAACAGCAGCTCCAACCACTACTACTCAAGCCCCGACTACAACAGCAGTTCCCACAACTACTCAGGACACAGTTTCGGCATTACAAAGTCGGCTTTTGTATCTGACCACCAAGGATGAATCTCTGGATAATCTCGACGATTCACTTGACGATGCAAAGGATTCTCTGAATAGTGTTTCCGGCAGCAGAAGGAGAAGACGAAAGCGAGAGGCAGGTGCTGGCGCTGCAACAGAAGCAGACACCACAACTGTAGCAGACACCACAACTGTAGCAGACACCACAACTGTAGCAGACACCACAACTGTAGCAGACACTACAGCTGTAACAGACACCACAACTAGCTGACACAACTGTAGCAGACACTACAACTGTAGCAGAACAACTGCAACTGTAGACAACAACTGTAGCAGACACCACAACTGTAGCAGACACCACAACTGTAGCAGACACCACAACTGTAGCAGACACCACAACTGTAGCAGACACCACAACTATAGCTGATAGTACAACTGTAGCTGGCACTACAACTGTAGCAGACATTACAATTGTAATTGGTTCTACAGATGTAGCAGGCACTACAGTTACAGGAGACACCACGGCCAGGGCAGATACTACAACTATAGCAGGCGCTACACTTACATTTGACACTACAACCATAGCAGACACGGTAATCACAACAGACACAACACTCACAACAGACGCTACAAACAAAGTAGGCACTACAGTAACCAGAGGAGAAACCATAACCATCCCAATTGTCACAGCCAAAAGAGACACTACAACTAGTGCAGAAACTATAACCATACCTACAATCATAATAGACTCTACAACCAAAGGAGATACTAGAACAGACACTGTAACCCTGGAAGATACAGGCAGTACAGACACGACGGCAGCAGACAAAACGGTTTCTCTAGACACTACAAACTTACCAGGTACTTCGGCTGTAAGAGATAGTACAGCAGAAGAGGATATTATCACAACAGACACTGCAACGGTAGCAGATGCTACAAACAAAGCAGACACTGAAGCAATTACTGGAGCTATACAAGTCACTGTAACAAATGCCGATACTAAAGGAGATGGTACAGCTGCAACAACAGATGCCGATACTAAAGGAGATGGTACAGCTGCAACAACAGATGCCGATACTAAAGGAGATGGTACAGCTGCAACAACAGATGCCGATACTAAAGGAGATGGTACAGCTGCAACAACAGATGCCGATACTAAAGGAGATGGTACAGCTGCAACAACAGATGCCGATACTAAAGGAGATGGTGCAGCTGCAACAACAGATGCCGCAAAACAAGCAGTCACTACAACGACTGATGCTGCTGAAACGACAGCTAGCGTAAATTCTGAATTGAAGACTCTTCTATCTAACTTCAAGACTTTACTAGATAGTCTTGATGATATTATAGAGGATGGATCTGCTAGTGAAATAGATGTACAAAAAGATGCTATTGATGAGTTCAAAGAAAGCACTGACACTATAATATCATCCGGCGATACAGATAGCATAAGTGAAAGTATAAAATCCTCTGCAAGTGAAATGGCAACCAGTGTAGATAAAGCAAAATCCTGGGTATACACTGAACGACAGGAAATTCGAAATAGTATTGCTACTGTGAATAAACTGTTGCTGCAGTATGGTGCTACTACAATTTCCCTGGAGGAGCTTATTACAGAAGGTAAGAAATGAATGAATGAAGACCCATTATTCTGATGTATCCGTTGACATGTTTTGAATAACTGATGACTATCATGTAAAAAAAAAAAAGATGTAATGATGGTAGCCGTAGATCAGCTGCCATATAAATGTAATTCTTAGCAGGTGGTAATGCCTTCGCTACACTTGTCTATTCACTTATTTATTAATTTGCTTTTAACAGAATATCGTACCATCTCAAAAAATAAGTAGTTTATTATGTTCTATATGAACAGCTCCCACCACATAGCAAAGATGAGGGTTGCGGTGCCCTTAACTTTTATTCTTAAGTCTTCTGTATGCGTCAATAAAGTTAATACCATAATACTTCAATTAAATTTTGCAACTCTATTACTTGTATCACAACTAACATCGCGTTCATATAATTTGCAATAAGTTTGGGTGGGTGCTTCATGCTCAAGGTGATGTGAAGCAATGGTGTGGTACCCTAAGAAGTGTTAAGTGCTTGCATGTCTTCTCGCTTACAGCTACCACCGCTGGCTAGCCTAGTGTGAAAAAGGGAGCAGCTGTACATAAGCCTCCCCTGCCAGTTTATAGCCCCTCCATCATCGAGAATTCTGCAGAGCCTCCTCATGGCCACCCATGGGAAACTGGGCACCTTGCGGTCCCAGGCTAAACTGTAGGGGATCTTGGAGCAGCAGACACAGAGGTACCAACTCCTGCCCCTAAGCTCCCTGGGGCTGATGGGAGGTTCGGGGGAGGTGAACCTTGTCAGTCCTCCTCCCCCCAGATAAATTCCCTTTGGCAATGTTTGGTATAAAAGGAAATGCTAGGGGGAAGGGACATGCCCCTCCTGTCCAGCAAGTGAAACTGCTGGGGGGCAAGATGGAAACTGGAGCAACTCATCCCACTTGCATTCTGGCAGCTGCCAACCTAGAGTAAATCTTGTGGGACAAAGCTCAAGGGAACCCCCCAGATGGATGTTGGGACATGCCCCTCCTGTCCAGCAAGTGAAACTGCTGGGGGGGCAAGATGGGAACTGGAGCAACTCATCCCACCTGCATTCTGGCAGCTGCCAACCTAGAGTAAATCTTGTGGGACAAAGCCCAAGGGAACCCCCCAGATGGATGTTGGGTCCCAAAGCCTGCCGCCCCCCTTTATATGGGGCAGTGTTGGCGTGGGTGGCGGAGGTGGCGTCAGCCCGGAGTGACTGCTGGAGGCTAAACTTCGGGCGGGAAGTCAGGGTGGGGGCTTGGAACGTCTGTTCTTAGTATCAGGATGATCAGTTGCCACTACTGTCGAGAGAACTGGGGAGGCTGAGAGTTGAGGTGGCTGCTCTCTTGGAGGTGAGAAGACCTGGAAGTAGCACAATTAGTTTAGATGGCTACACTTACTCCTGGTCAGGCCAAAGCGATGGTCACCATCTTCAGCAGACTCCAGCCCTCTGTAGTAGAGGTTACACCAGTTGATGAAAGTATAATAGTACTAAGAGTGAAGCTAACATTTGGCTTCCTGTCTTATTGCTGTGTATGCTCCTACCAATGTTTGTAAACTCGATGTGAAAGAGATGTTCTATGTCAAACTTGCATCTATGTTGGACAGTTGTCCACTGTGAGATATTCGTATTGTTCTGGGTGACTTCAATGTGGTATCTGGTTGTTATCGAGCTGGCTATGAGATGTCTGTCAGTCCCCATGGCTCAGAAGCTGATGACAGTAGCGGAAATAGACTCCTTTTCCGGGCCTTTGCAAGGTCCCAGAAATTGAGGATTTCTGGCTCCTGGTACCAACATTCATACCCACATCGTTGGACGTGGTACAACAATGCAGGTAATGCAGCCAAGGAGATCAACCACATGCTCGTTAACACTCGGAGGATCCACCAGAACTGCAGGGTGTATAGGAGTGCTGAATGCTGTGGCACTGACCATAGATTAGTTGTGGCTACTCTCCGGGTCCAATTCAAAACTCCCCAGCGATCCTATGACGACCCTAGGGTGTTTCATCTGGACAGGCTGATGGAGGTGGAGTGTGCCTAGAGGTTTGCTAAGGCAATTTCTAGTCGTTTCACAATGCTCGACAATCTGACAGACCCTGTACTTTGGGACATTGAGTTCGAAACACTTGGTGAGCTCAAGAATCGATTGGTGAACACCCAAGAGCCATACAGAATTTTATCTCGCAGGAGACACTGGAAGTCACAGATGCTTGTCTGACAGGGGACTGGGATTTGTACCGTTTTCAGGTGTGCAGAACTGTTAAGAATGGACAAGGAATGGCTTCATAGAAGTCTTATAGAGGAGGTCGAAGGGCATTTCCTAGTAAATGACATCCTTCCTACATACCCAGCCCTGAGAAAGTTGAACTGCAATTTTCTCAGCAATTGGCCAGATTGTCTCAGATCCTGTTGCAGTGCGGGAGCAATAGGTTGAGTATTTTGAGCAGTTGTACCAGGTTGATCCACCAACAGTTAACTTGGATGCGGTTTGTGCCGAGATTCTGTTGCCAGACCCACTCATCAGTGAGGATCCATCCTCCTTACCTGAAGCTGAGTGGTAAAGCAGCAGCTATCTGCAGCATCACAACTGAACTGTTAAAGGCTGGTGGTGAACCTATGGTGTGGGGTTTGTATTCTGTCCTGGCTGCCATCTGGCAGTCCGGTACCGTTCAGGGGTGTCATTTTCCCTCTCTGGAAGGGGAAGGGGGATCGATGGGACTGCAGCAATCACCGAGGTATCACACTGCTCAGTATACCAGGGAAGGTTCTCACCCACATCCTTCTAAGACGTTTAAAAGAGCACCTGCTGAAGCACCAGAGGCCAAAGCAATCTGCATTCACTCCTGTTAAGTCCACAGTAGACTGTATCCTGGAGCTTTGAAGCATTGTAGAGCGCCGCCGTGAGTTCAGGCATAGGCTACTTGCAGTCTACATTGACTTCAAGAAGGGGTTTGATATAGTGCTTTGGGAATCACTCTAGGAGATCCTGAGATTGAGAAGAATTCCAACAAGGATTATTGGACTAATAGCAAGCCTATATACTAGAACTGAAAGTGTTGTAAAGTGATAGCAAAGAATCTCGATAGTCTCCCCCCCTCCCCCGGCTATCGAAATTCTTTCCTGTCAGCTCAGGAGTGAGGCAAGGCTGAGTCCTTGCACCAACACTTTTCAACACTTGCATGGACTGGATACTGGGCAGAGCTACTCTTCAAAACTCTTGTGGAGCAACTCTGAGTCTTTGGAAACCTTAGTGGTGGCTCCAGAGGCATTTAGCAATGAAGCAAAAGGGGCCTGTGGGACGACCTAGGAAGTCGTGGTTTGTGTAAATCGACTAAGCCTGTCGGGAGGAGCTCGAGATGGGCCGAGTCCTTGCCTGGTAGCTTGCTATGAGGAGTCCTCGTAGGTGGAAATGAAGGGTTGATGCAGCAAGGCCCCCCTGTCGGTAGCATTATATGTAAATAATCGAATGTGTCAGTGCAAATGAAATATAACTGACTTTAAATAACCTTTATAAATTATAGGAAATGTAACTATAGATGACAAGTAAACAAGAAATATTCATATCATTTATATTTGGGTTTTCTCTGACAGCTCTTCCTCGTGTATGATCGAGGAGCTGGGGTAGGGTAGCTTCTATCAGGCTGTTGTCAGTGAGGATCATGATTACCATGGGGTTTTGCAGGTCACTATCGTTTAAAGAATCACGAAGTTTGTACTTTGAATTTGAAAGCCTTTTTTTTTTTCTAGTAAAGTATTGCATAAGATGGGAAGGTTTTCCTAACCTGGAATTAAGGTTGTCTTTCCTTTATATCCGCAGTTTGAATATCCCACAACTTATTAGAATACATTTTGATGACTTTCAACAAACATGAATATATCAGAACTTGTTTCCTTATTACCTGGAGCAAAAATTAATGGCAACTCAACTGCATCTTTTCTATGAAGTTAATGTCATTACGTATCAATACATAATTGGTAAGATTAAGTAGCTCGTTCCACATGTGCAGGTTTAAATTTTGAGAAGTTAATCCTGCATTCTGCGCACTAGAGATCTGATTTAACTTGAATATGGAATTAATTTTTAAGTCGTGTACAGATGACACCTTTATTAACAACGAAACAGATTTTGGCATATTCATGTCAGAGGTGTATGTGAAAATTCATCAATATGCATTCTGATAACCTGTGGGATATTCAAACTACAGATATAACCCTTATCAGTAAAAAGGACAATTAAAATAAAATCCCGCAGAAAAAACAAACATTATTCATTCGGAAAACATTCCCACCTTATGCAATAATTTAATTAAAAAATAAAGCTTTTAATAGCTTCACTTTCAGGTTTAAAATTCAAAGTATAATCTTTCTGATCCTTTAAACCAAAGTGAATTGCAAGACTGTGAGGAAATTTGTAATTAGTAATGCAATATCCCGAAAAAGTGAGGAAGAGCTGTTAAAGAAAAAGAATGAATGGAATATTTATGCTTCTCTGTCAACTTGTCAGTTAAATTGCTTATAAAATTAAAAGGTTATTTGAAGCCCCATATATGTATTATTTGTAGTAACAGATATGTCTTCATGATATAATGTTACCTTATAATCCGATATTTTTATTTCTTCTCTTACTATAGCAAACGTCTTCTTTTCATATTATCGTGTGTGAAAATTATAATGGGTGAATGCTAATTATTTGTACACAAATACCAACTGTTTCATATAACAGCAAATCATACTGGTTCGTTCGTCTGGCAGGTGTGTCTTGGCCCTTCGGTGCAAGTACTGTGGATTTGAATTAAACTTGAATACGGTTTTGACTTTTTTGATGCGTACAGAAGATGCCTACACCAATGGGGAATGCCGACTGTCGAGAATTGAGCTGGAAATAAATGATGCATAATTAAAAGAGCAACCAAATAAAACACTTCAAGCTAAGCTAAGTTAAAATAAATAAATAAATAAATAAAATATTGCACAAGGTAAAATCCGAACTTGGGGTGATGGTGGTGGGGGGGGGAGCGAGAGAGAGCGAGAGAGAGAGAGAGAGAGAGAGAGAGAGAGAGAGAGAGAGAGAGAGAGAGAGAGAGAGAGAGAGAGAGAGAGAGAGAGAGAGAGAGAGTGAGTGAGTGAGTTGCAAATTGATTTTTTTTTTCTGATTTTCCTCAGAGAACACTGCTGCACCCGATGAATCTGATGCTACAGATGGTCCTGCTGCTGCTGACACAACTGTCCTAACAGTTCCTGCTACTGATGCAGTTTCTGTTCCTACGACTGTTCATACAGCTCCACTTCCTGCAACTTTTCCTACCATCACAAACGACATACCGTTGGCCGATTCTACACCAGATGCTACAATAATTGTGACAATAACAGATGCACCCGATGCTACGATGCATCCTACAATTATTGATTTTCCAACAGATTATGTTTCTGGTTTTATAACAGAGGATACAACCGATGCCACAGTAAATGATTTTATAACAGGGGATATTCCCTATTACACAGTACCTGGTTTTATAACAGAGGATATAACCTATTATACAGTACCTGGTTTTATAACAGAGGATACAACCGATGACACAGTACCTGGTTTTATAACAGAGGATATAACCTATTATACAGTACCTGGTTTTATAACAGAGGATGCAACCGATGACACAGTACCTGGTTTTATAACAGAGGATACAACCGATGACACAGTACCTGGTTTTATAAACAGAGGATATAACCTATTATACAGTACCTGGTTTTATAACAGAGGATGCAACCGATGACACAGTAACTGGTTTTATAACAGAGGATACAGATGACACAGTATAACAGAGGATATAACCTATTATACAGTACCTGGTTTTATAACAGAGGAGATACATAACAGAGGATACAACTGATGCCACAGTAACTGGTTTTATAACAGAGGATACAACTGATGCCCCAGTAACTGGTTTTATAACAGAGGATACAACCGATGCCACAGTAACTGGTTTTATAACAGAGGATACAACCGATGCCACAGTTACTGGTTTTATAACAGAGGATACAACCGATGCCACAGTAACTGGTTTTATACAGAGGATACAAATGCCACAGTTACTGGTTTTATAACAGAGGATACAATGCAACAGTTACTGGTTTTATAACAGAGGATACAACCATGCCACAGTTAACTGGTTTTATAACAGAGGATACAACCGATGCCACAGTAACTGGTTTTATAACAGAGGATACAACTGATGCCACAGTAACTGGTTTTATAACAGAGGATACAACTGATGCCACAGTTACTGGTTTTATAACAGAGGATACAACCGATGGTTACTGCAGAGGATACAACCGATGCCACAGTAACTGGTTTTACAGAGGATACAACCGATGCCACAGTTAACTGGTTTTATAACAGAGGATACAACGATGCCACAGTTACTGGTTTTATAACAGAGGATACAACAGGAAGAGGATACAACGATGCCACAGTAACTGGTTTTATAACAGAGGATACAACTTGCAGATGATGCCACAGTAACTGGTTTTATAACAGATGATACAACCGATGCCACAGTAACTGGTTTTATAACAGAGGATACAACCGATGCAAGTAACTGGTTTATAACAGAGGATACAACCGATGCTAACTGGTTTTATAACACAGATTACTGGTTTTATAAACAGAGGATACAACACAGTAACTGGTTTTATAACAGAGGATACAACCGATGCCACAGTAACTGGTTTTATAACAGAGGATACAACCGATGCCACAGTTACTGGTTTTATAACAGAGGATACAACCGATGCCACAGTAACTGGTTTACTACAACGATGCTACAGTTACTGGTTTATAACAGAGGATACAACCGATGCCACCTGGTTTTATAACAGAGGATACAACTGATGCCACAGTAACTGGTTTTATAACAGATGATACAACCGATGCCACAGTAACTGGTTTTATAACAGAGGATACAACTGATGCCACGGTAACTGGTTTTATAACAGATGATACAACTGATGCCACAGTAACTGGTTTTATAACAGAGGATACAACCCACAGTAACTGGTTTATAACAGATGATACAACCGATGACAGTAACTGGGTGCTGATGCCACACTGCTACAACAGAGGATAGATGTCACAATGACTGGTTTTTACAACGATGTACAACCGATGCCACATTACTGGTTTCACAACAGAGGATACAACCATGCTGACAAGTTCTGGTTTTACAACAGGAATAGAAACCTATGCTACACTGTCGATTATCTAACAGTTCTTTTTAACAACATTGTGTAATTTCTCCTTTTTCACACTATCGATAAAAGATCGATCGATGATCTTACCCACACAGCTTTAGTACTGAAAAATGGGCGTGTTGAAGAGGAAAACGAATTACTTCAAAACGTATATATTTCTTAAGTTTCAATCGAAAGGCATAAAATACCTCTCTAGCGCTGAAAAGTTTTTCTTTGTCATTTACGCATGATTTTTACAGGCTAATCATTACGTCAAATTCAGGGTGGAATTATTATAAGCTACATTAATAAAGCATTTTGTTGGGTATGACCGCAGATTGAAAGCCATTTTTTATCTTTTCTGTCTCTTCTCGTTCGTGCATGTCTATTCCTCTTTCCACTCCGCAACTGTAATTGTTCACATCACATATAAATGACAATATTATTCTAATGACTATCAGCTGGTTTAGTAATTGTTATTACAACAGATGATACAACTGACCCTACAGTTACAAGTTTTCCAACAGATAATACAACCGATGCTTCAGTTACAGATTTTACAAAAGAGGATACAACCGATGCAACAGTTACTGGTTTTACAACAGAGGATACAACCGATGCTACAATTACTGGGTTTACAACAGATGCTACAACCGATGCTACAGTTACTGGTTTTACAACAGATGCTACAACCGATGCTACAATTACTGGTCGAGGATACAACCGATGCTACAGTTACTGGTTTTACAACAAATGATACAACCGATGCTACAGTTACTGGTTTTACAACAAATGATACAACCGATGCTACAGTTACTGGTTTCACAACAGATGATACAACCGATGCTACAGTTACTGGTTTTACAGCAGAGGATACAACCGATGCTACAGTTACTGGTTTTACAACAGATGATACAACCGATGCAACAGTTACTGGTTTCACAACAGATGATACAACCGATGCAACAGTTACTGGTTTTACAACAGAGGATACAACCGATGCTACAATTACTGGGTTTAAAACAGATGATACAACCGATGCAACAGTTACTGGTTTTACAACAGAGGATACAACCGATGCTACAATTACTGGGTTTACAACAGATGATACAACCGATGCTACAGTTACTGGTTTCACAATAGACGATACAACCGATGCTACAGTTACTGGTTTCACAACAGATGATACAGCCGATGCTACAGTTACTGGTTTCACAACAGATGATACAACCGATGCTACAGTTACTGTTTTTACACGATGCTAACAGTTACTGGTTTCACAACAGATGATACAACCGATGCTAAGTTACTGTTTCACAACAGATGATACAACCGATGCTACAGCTGGTTTACAACAGATGATACAACCGATGCTACAGTTACTGGTTTTACAACAGATGATACAACCGATGCTACAGTTACTGGTTTCACAACAGACGATACAACCGATGCTACAGTTACTGGTTTCATAACAGATGATACAACCGATGCTACAGTTACTGGTTTCACAACAGAGGATACAACCGTTGCTACAGTAACTGGTTTTACAACAGAGGATACAACCGATGCTACAGTTACTGGTTTTACAACAGATGATACAACCGATGCTACAGTTACTGGTTTTACAACAGAGGATACAACCGATGCTACAGTTACTGCTACAGTTACTGGTTTAAAACAGATGATACAACCGATGCTACAGTTACTGGTTTTACAACAGAGATACAACAAGTAACTGGTTTTACAACAGATGATACAACCGATGCTACAGTTACTGGTTTTACAACAGAGGATACAACCGTTGCTACAGTAACTGGTTTTACAACAGAGGATACAACCGATGCTACAGTTACTGGTTTCACAACAGATGATACAACCGATGCTACAGTTACTGGTTTCACAACAGAGGATACAACCGATGCTACAGTAACTGGTTTTACAACAGAGGATACAACCGATGCTACAGTTACTGGTTTCACAACAGATGATACAACGATGCTACAGTTACTGGTTTCACAACAGAGGATACAACCGATGCTACAGTAACTGGTTTTACAACAGAGGATACAACCGATGCTACAGTTACTGGTTTCACAACAGATGATACAACCGATGCTACAGTTACTGGTTTCACAACAGAGGATACAACCGATGCTACAGTAACTGGTTTTACAACAGAGGATACAACCGATGCTACATGGTTACAACAGATGATACTACAACGATTTACACACAGAGGATACAACCGATGCTACAGTTACTGGTTTTACAACAGAGGATACAACCGATGCTACAGTTACTGGTTTTTAACAACAGATGATACAACCGATGCTACAGTTACTGTTTCAATATGACAGACACGATGCTACATTACCAGTTTTTACTGAAGATACAACCGTTGCTAACTGGTTTTAACTACAGTGCTACACTGGTTTTACAACAGATGATACAACCGATGCTACAGTTACTGGTTTCACAACAGAGGATACAACCGATGCTACAGTAACTGGTTTTACAACAGAGATACAACCGATGCTACAGTTCTGGTTTTACAACAGATGATACAACCGATGCTACAGTTACTGGTTTTACAACAGATGATACAACCGATGCTACAGTTACTGGTTTTACAACAGATGATACAACCGATGCTACAGTTACTGGTTTCACAACAGATGACAACCGATGCTACAGTTACTGGTTTTACAACAGATGATACAACGATGCTACAGTTACTGGTTTTACAACAGATGATACAACCGATGCTACAACAGTACAACCGATGCTACAGTTACTGGTTTTACAAGATGATACAACCGATGCTACAACACAACAGATGATACAACCGATGCTACAGTTACTGGTTTTACAACAGATGATACAACCGATGCTACAGTTACTGGTTTTACAACAGATGATACAACCGATGCTACAGTTACTGGTTTTACAACAGATGATACAACGATGCTACAGTTACTGGTTTTACAACAGATGATACAACCGATGCACAGTTACTGGTTTCACAACAGATTGATACAACCGATGCTACAGTACTGGTTTTACAACAGAGATACAACCGATGCTACAATTACTGGTTTTACAACAGATGGATGTTACTGGTTTACAACAGAGGATACAACCGATGCACAGTTACTGGTTTCACAACAGAGGATACACCGATGCTACAGTTACTGGTTTCACAACAGATGATACAACCGAACCTGGTTTTACAACAGAGATACAACCGATGCTACAGTTACTGGTTTCACAACAGATACAACCGATGCTACAGTACTGGTTTTACAACAGATGATACAACCGATGCTACAGTTACTGGTTTCACAACAGATGATACAACGATGCTACAGTTACTGGTTTCACAACAGATGATACAACCGATGCTACAGTTACTGGTTTCACAACAGATGATACAACCGATGCTACAGTTTCTGGTTTTACAACAGATGATACAACCGATGCTTTACTGCTTACTGGTTTCACAAACAGATGATACAATGCTACAGTTACTGGTTCACAACAGATGATACACCGATGCAACAG